CACCTGCACCTTGCTCAGCCAGTGAGCGGCCGGTCTGTATGTGGGATCCGAACCCTCGGCGGGAGTGCCGCCGCACTCCCAAGCGGCGCACTGTAGCAGTGCGCCACCGGGCCGGCCCTCATTAACTAGAGTTTAATATTTGTTTATGGTTCCTTTTTGGTTTTTTACGGGTTTTTTTTTTTTTTGAGGTAAAATTTACATTCTACGAAAGGCACAAATCCAAGTGGCCCATCTGGCGAGTTTTAACAAATGCACACACCTGTGTAACTCAAGCCCTGTGTAGATGTAAACTTTTCCCACTACCTGTTGGTCCCTCTCACATCCTCCAGACCCACCAGAGGCAGTAATTGTTCTGATTTTAGCCTGAACGATCGTTCTACATACCCAGAGAATTGAGTCTGGTGTGTAAGGTCTCTTTGCCAAATGGAGGGACTGCCATTGACCTCCCCAGATCATTCAAAGAGGGGCAGGACATTTGGAAAATCAGGTGGATTCTCCAGCTGGGCTGTTAGAAAACAACCTGATTCTGTGGATAATCCCTGGATTTTATAAGCTTGGCTCTAGAAAGCATTGTTTTGTCATCCTTTGACATGACAACAACGTATCCAATCACATCTCTCCTTTCTGCCATTTTATACCCACAGCCGAGGATACCTGTCTCTGGATCTAGGTCGGAGGGCCATCTCTATGTCAGTTCATCCAGAGATGCCCCCTTTCAGAGGAATCATGGGAAAGTGATGGGAGTGGGGAACAGGAGGGGACCCTCCTGATGGAAACGATCTTGATTCCCATTTTCATTTCTAGTTAAGTGATTGCAGTAATAAGAATAATTAGTTTTCAAAGCTTGAAGCTAAAAGCTTCATGGCCTGGGCAGCAAGCCAGTGCTTTGGCTCTTAGCTCAGTCCAGACAATTTATCCAATACAATTTACTTAATTGTCTTCTTATTTTGTTTAATTTGAAAATCTCTACAGTTATAGTGGTCTAGGTCTGTAATAATTTGATGCTATGTTACAGTTTCTAACCCTACGGCCTCAGTCGTTACAGATGAACAGAGGCATGGATTCCTGTTTCAGCATATTCGTGCCGTTCTTTGCATAAGCGATCCACCACCTTAATTAGCTTTTCTTGTTGGTTGCCAATAGCTACATCCACTCACTTCCCCCACGGGAAGCCTCTCGGAGATGTTTGCTGTTTAGGCCGAGTGTGTTTAATTCCCCAGGTCAAAAGGAGCAGGCGGCCCGAGGCAGCCCCCATCTCGCTCCCACCCAGCTGGGGTTCTTGGAGGAGGTGCAGGTCGGTGTCAATTAGGAAATGAGGACAAGCTGCCCCTTCTCCTCCCTGACACCCCTTCCGTTTGCTTGTCTGCAGTCGATGCTGCCAAAATGAGACCCCCTAACAGAATGTTAACATTGTATTAACGTAGCACTAACACAATAACGTTTAAAAATTTTAAGACATTATTCCAAACTGCTCTTTTTTTTCTTTTTGATTGTGTCTTTTGCCTCAGTGTTTCATTGATGATACTTTTCTGGTTTCTCTCAGGTGGCACCTTCAGGAGGTTTTCTTAGAGCTCAAGGGTGGTCAGCATTCCCCTGGTCAAGCTAAGAGAGCAGAATGGTGATGAAGTGGAAAAGGAGTAAAGATGATTCGACTTTTTTCAAGTCTGGCTTTCCCTCATCTCCACCATGTACCTGCCAGGGTGACAGCTCATCTGAGTGGAAGGCACTCCTGTGAGCAAAATTTCCAGCCACCAGTGGGGATGATTATATGTGCTGGCATATACATTTTGGTATAATTCTAACCTGACCACAGCAAACACTATTGTGGTTTTTTAATTGAATCAGAAAGAAAATTTTATTATGAGTTTATATGGTAATTTATTTAAAAGTGCTCTGTATATAAATGCGGAAAGCACAGAATTAAAGGAATCATTAATAATATTTGTTGGTTTTTGCTGGTTCTCATCTCTTTTCTTTTCCTCTCCCCATCCTCTCCCTATAATTTTTAATTCCATCAAAGAAAAGACTGAGGCTTACTAGCACTGAAGAGGTTTCTAAGTTGCTGACATTGGAACACCAAGGATGACCAGGCACTTTGTTTCAACTCTGCGTTCGTGTTGTTAAGTAGTAGCTTGTAAGCATTCTCAATCATTTCAGAAGATCTTGTTTGCTTTGTCGTTTTTGTTTTCTTATTTCTCTTTCAGTCACCAACTGTGTCCAATTGAAGAATTGCAAAATAATTCCCTTTATTCCAAACATTTTAAAGCTTAAAAATGTATGCATACTTAAGCACATATAAAACTAATGTAGAAAAATTAGTTAAAGCTAACACGTCCTATCCTTCTGCTTTCCAAACAACTTACATACTTATTAGAGAATCGTATACTCAGGTTTCATAGGTCTTGTAAGGAAACAGTATGATAGAGCAAAAAGACTTCCCTCTGAGCACCAGAGCCTGAAAAACCAGAAATCTGTTTTTTTAACAGTTTAACCTTCTTAATATTACTAGGCTTATTGCAATTGTTACCATCTACAATGAAGGGCATTCACGAGCTCTCTTTCTACTTCACTGGAGAGAAGCCTCTCAGAAAATAACCAAACTTAAACGTGTTGGCAGAGTATGAGGCCTTTTATCGCTATTCTAGAGTTTGTTCCTTCAAAATATATATAGATATACATGATTGCACCTAAGCAGGTTAAATATGTATGTTCTTTGAGTAGATTATATAGTGAAAAGTAAGTCTCTTTCCCTTCCAGTGTTTATTGATAAATATTACAATCTCTACAATATTTTTAAATAAATGGTAGAACAGTTTTATGCTGCTTTATTTTTTAACAATTAACATAATATTCTATTGTGTATGTGTCAGTTTATGTATTGCTTCATATCTGACTGTCCTCTGACAACTTTTATTTCCTTTCAGTGTTCGAATTTTTTTTTTTTTTTTTTTTTTGGTTTCTTTGCTATGGCCAAAACATAGAAAACCTGGGCCTAGGTAGGCCATCTGTTCTGAAGTAAAAACAAGTGTCAGTTTTTGTTTTGTAGAGTTTGAAGTAATGAAAAGTCTTTTCTAATCTAGCTGATAGAAAATAGTATTACGTAGTGAAAAGTTCCTCGATTTCTCTTTGAAAGCTACCATCTCGGGTATTTTTTCTATTCAAGTTCACTTCCATGAATGTACTTAATGCCTTCATAGATGATTCGGAACAGGTTGGAGCCTGGATCTTGCAGTAGACATTATTTCTCCTGTTCTCTAAGGATAGCAACGACGTGTATTTGCAGCCCACCACTTCCTGTACGTACAGTAATCACTCAGATTCAGCCATTGACTCCCATTAACTGCCTTGCTGACATTTTGGATAATGCATATTAACATCAGAAGAAAAGGTGACTTTTTGCCATGAGCAAAGTTTAAGCAGGTGCCTGCAGCACATCTCATAAAAGAGACCAGATATCCCAGAGATTGGAGAAAGGGCTTTACTAGAATTGTAAGAATTGCAGATTTGTAAAGACTGCAGAAGAGATGTCACAGCCAACAAATGGTAGCATGACTCCCACGTACTTTACTACAGAAGATGTTGCAGGGCCTCCACCTGCAAGTTGCTTACCAGCTAATACGCTGGGTGGCTGGGCAGAGACTAGGGAGTTACCTAGTATTATGATACTGTGCCAAAAGAGGTGCAAGCAGTGGTACTAAAATGATGCAGAAGAGAGAAATAACAAAAGGAGGAAACCAAGAGACTACATGGAGGGAGTGGTTTGATGGTGAAGTAAAATGTATTAATGTCATCTGATGTGGATCTCAACGTATGCAGAGGATATTTTAAGATAGTTCCATTATAAATGAGGTGCAGAAAGGCTGGCAAGGGGCGCTACATTTACTCACACTGAAACACCGACATCAACTGATCTTTATGGCAATGAATGTTTCGTATCTTGGCTGTGTTGGTGGCTACAGGAATGTACACGTAAAAAAATAGCATAGAACTATACACACACATTGTACTAATATCGATTTTCTGGGTTTGGTTTTGTACTGTAGTTATGTGGAATGTATCTGTGCTATTTTTCCAACTCCCTATAAGTCTGTAATTACTCCAAAATCAAAAGCTCTACAAAGTGATGAGAGATGAGGGGATTCTCCTCCCCGGCTGAATAATTTCCAGCTCTCTGGGGATTACACATATCCCTGTCCAAATATCTTGATTTATTTTCTTCTAGGTATACTTCTTTTCACAATTTATTAGAAAGCTGGTCATTTTAATAATAGATAACTAAAGAGACACTACATTTTATGAAAACCTATCACAGTGTATAGAAACTGAGAACATTTTCATGTAAAAAGCTGCTATACTAACATTAAGTAAAAAATTGTTCTATTTTTAATAAATAAAATCCTCATTTATATTAATAAAACTATAAGAAGGAATGTAATCAGTCATAAGACTGTCTTGCCATTTAAAATAAGCTGCTCCCCAAAGTACTGTGTCGATATTGGCTCTAAATAGAAAACATCTTTTTTTTTTTTTTTCTTAAAAGATGACCGGTAAGGGGATCTTAACCCTTGACTTGGTGTTGTCAGCACCACGCTCAGCCAGTGAGCGAACCGGCCATCTCTATGTGGGATCCGAACCCGGGGCCTTGGTGTTATCAGCACCGCACTCTACCGAGTGAGCCACGGGCCGGCCCAGAAAACATCTTTTACAAATGTGTTTAGATTGTAATAGCCTGAGAGTTGGCAAATTTTTTCTGTCAAGGGCCAGATAGTAAATAATTTAGGCCATATAGGCCATAAGTCTCTCTCCATTAAAACTACTCAACCGCAGTTTTAGTGTGAAAGTTGCCATAGACAAAATGTAAATGAATGGGCGTGAAACTTCATTTACAAACAGGCAATGTAAACATAGTACGCTGACCTCTGCACTAGCCTAAGCGAAGTTACTTTACCTCTGGTCACTAAAAAAAAACCCCCGAAAATTAAGTTACACAAAAATAATTTTTAAAAAGTATAGTGTTACAGGTGTTAAAATGTAACCAAAAGTAGTATCCACTGAGGTAAAAGCCCTGGACTCTGAACAGTCAGGAAACCTCAATCATTCTATCCTTTTTCTGCCAGAAATTTAGCTGCGAGATCTTAGGCAAATCACATATTCCCTCTGAGATTACATTATCTCATCTCTAATTTGAAAAAAATTACAGGAGGGTATTATTCCTTCCACTTTTGTTACTATAAATTTCAGTTCAGCAGACTTACTCCCACTGTTACCAACAAAGTTTCAAAAGAAAGGAAAAGTAATTATTTAAATAACATATTTCTCATTAAGTACAATGAGCATTGGAAGATCTGGAGTATTAAAAGCAAACAAAAAAAATGAGGAGTATCTAAAACAATAGCATCAAAAAACAAAATACATAGAGATAAAGTCAAAGGATGTGCAAGATCTCACACTGCTGACAATTAAAATGAAGTAAATAAATGGAAACACATACTGTGTTTATGCACTGGACGACTTGATAGTGTTAAAATGTCAAACTGAACTATAGGTTTGAGGAATCCTAATCAAAATCCCACAAGGCTGTTTTGGGGGGGTAGTTTGGTAGAAATTGACAAGTCAACTCTAAAATTTATTTGGAAATGCAAAGGACCTAGAATAAACAAAGCAATCTTGAAAAAGAATTAATTAGAAAGCCTACTTTACCTGAAATCAAAACTTTGAAAGTTTTAACAAAAGAGTAAACAGATTGATGGAACAGAAAAGTAGATTGACATGTATATGGTCAAATGATTTTAGACAAGGGCACTAAAAAGCAATTTAATGGGGAAAGGAAGCTCTCCGACAAATGGTGCTGGAACAATTGAACATTCATATGGCAAACAAAGGCACTTGACCCTTATTTCACACTATACAAAAGAATTAATTCAAGGTGGATCAAGGACCTAAACATAAAAGCTACAACTATAAAGCTTCAGAAAAAAATAAGATCATATCTTCATAACCTTTGGGTAGGTAAAGACTTCTTAAAGAGGACACAGAAGGCATCAACCATATAACAAAAATTGATAAATTAGATTTCACTAAAATTAAGATCTTCCCAATCAAAAGACACTGTGAGAAAACAGGCAAGCCACAGAGTGGGAAAACATATTTGTAACATAAATCTGACAAATGACCTTTAACCAAAATATGTAAGGAATTTCTACTATCCAACTGAAAAGGAAAAGGACAAAAGAATCATCTAATAAGCACATGAAAAAGTCATCAGGGAAATGCAAATTAAACCACATGACATACCACCACATACCAGATAAATTCTGCTGTGTCCAAACAGTACTACACAGCAATAAAAAGGAACAGTCTCGGACGTAAGCATCTACATGTATGAATCTCGGACATCATGCTGAGTGAGAGCCAGGAGCCAGAGCCACGCTGTGTGACTCCAGCCGCACAAATCTGAGGATAAAGAAAGTGAATCTTCAGCAACAGAATAGGAGTATGGGTTAAAGGATGTCTGTATTTATCAAACCTGATCAGATTGTATGGATTTAGACCTGTACATTTCATTAAATGTAAATTATATCCCTTTCTCCCTCAAAACAATAGTTGGAGATTAAGGCTCTTGAAGTTAAATTTAAGGTTTTTTTGTTTTTTGTTTTTTAATAGATGGAAGGGCACAAATTCTTTATTTTATTTATTCATTTATTTTTTTTTTGGTGACCGATAAGGGGATCGTAACCCTTGGCTTGGTGTCGCCGGCACCGCACTCAGCCAGTGAGCACACCAGGCATCCTTATATAGGATCCGAACCCGCAGCCTCGGCACTGGAGCGCTGCCGCGCTCCCAGGACCGCACTCTCCCGAGTGAGCCACAGGGTCGGCCCTAAATTTAAGGTTTTTAATCTAGCTCTTTTAATTCAACAAAAAATTGAAGGTACTAGGTGG